CCTCTTTTTGACTGTTTATTTCCTTTATTATTTCTAGATTCTATGAATATTTGAAACATATCTTCTATGGGAGAACATATTTGAAAAAAATTTAAGCAACTGTAAACCCATGATGTTACTAAGGGTTTGCAAAGGGCTCATTCTACTTATTTTCTTTATTTTTCCCAATTGAGAAATGTTTCAACTATAAGTGATTCATATTTTATCTTCCTACTTAAATTCTCTATTTAATATATAGCATATTTTAAGTAGTTAGAATAAGCTATCTGCTTTAACATATAGTCTCCTTTCCACTGTGGCTCAAATGTGAACTTTATGCCTCACTTATATAAAAAGCCTAAGAAGGTTATAGGCCAGGCGTGACGGCTCATGCCTGTAATCCCAGCACTTTGGGAGGCCAAGGTGGGTAGGTTGCTTGAATTCAGGAATTCGAGACCATCCTGGGCAGTATGGTGAAACCCCATCTCTCTAAATAATACAAAAATTAGCAGGGCATGGTGGTGTGCACCTGTGGTCCTAGCTACTTGGGAGGCTGAGGGGAGAAGATCACTTGAGCCTGGGAGGTAGAGGTTGCAGTGATCTGTGATCACACCACTGCACACCAGCCTGGGTGACAGAGCCAGGCCCTTCTCAAAAAAAAAAAAAAAAAAAATGGTTCGAGGTAGGTAGAATATTGGGTGGCTTTTTCACATAGTCAGGTGGGGACCTAGGTGGGGACCTCGGCTGATAGAGGCTTTGGCATTCTCATCCCATGGCTCCCAAGGTCACCTGGGGATTGGCATTGAATTTTTGAAAGAAATACAGGACACACATCACCTTTGTGCATACTTCTTTGGCTAGAACTGAGGCAAATAGTCCTACCGATGCAAATAGTCCTACCTCACTGGAAAGAAGCCTCATAAAGATGGTTCAGCTATGTGTCCTGGGAAAAGAGGAGGAGCTGGGATTTGGTGAGCAGCTTATAATTTTCACCATGTTTTCCCCTTCTCTTCCTGATTTGCTGCTGCATAGTCTTTCCAGCCTCTGATATGTTTCCTCTGATGTGGATTCACTTTAGCTTTAGATTCTATTTTCTACATTTTCTTTACCTTCACTGCCTGTTACTGAATCATGAAGCCAATGCCCTATATTTCAGGTTTTTGTGTGGCATCCTCTTCCAATATATTTTTTTTGTGTGTGTGTCAAGTAGGATAACTACTGTCAGAAATATGTTCTGAAATGTTTATTGGCTCGAACACAAGAAGGGGATTATTTCTTGCTCACACTGTCAGGATAAGGTGGTTCCTGATTGCTGGGGGTCTTTGAGTCACACAGCCATTTAAGGATTCTAGCTGATGGGAGTCCTGCTTTCTTTGACATGTGGCTTCCAAAGGCTTCATGGTGAAACAAAGGCAGAGGTATAATAAACACAAGTGTGAAGGGAAAACAGGAACAAGAGGTGTAAGAAGAGGGAGAGCCAGACTAAGTGAAGATGCTCCATGTGGACGAATTGCTCTTAATTTCTGGTAATAGTGACTGAAACACCATTAAGGTTGGATGATTTCAAAGGGCAGACCAGGATTACATGATAAGCTTCCCAGGTATTTTTTAGTTTTTCACGGGACTTCTTTCTGGCCTACTCTATTATCACATGCTGAGACTACTAAGAAGTTTCATTCTTTTGTGCAGTGATAAGAAGGGATTCCCTTCAAATTCCGTTGAAAAGAGAAGAGCCCCAGAAAACCTCAAGCTCAGTGCCAATAATTAGATAAGGTAAGGAAGTTAGGATTGCAAATCATCAGCTGTGGATTATCATTTATATCTAGAGATACTGTTCTTGCAATGGAGTCACTTTAACTTGGGATTCCATTTTCTACAATTTATTTACTTTCACTTTTAAAATGCAGGGAGACAAGAAACGTGAAGTTTTCACTCAATATATGGGCTTTATGGACTGAATATATGTAGTCATATATTTATCTTCCTGAGAAAAGATGAGGCAAAATATATTCTCTATGCCTATAAATTGAATGTATATAATGATTTTTTTTTTAATTTTTAAATTTTTGAGATGGGGTCTTACTCTGTTGCCCAGGCTGGAGTTCAGTGGTGCAATCACAGCTCACTGCAACTTCTGCCTCCTGGGCTCAAGTGATTCTCCTGCCTCAGACTCCCAAGTAGTGGGAACTACAAGCAAGCACCACCATACCCGGATAATTTTTTGTATTTTTAGAAGAGACAGGGTTTCATCATGTTGCCCAGGCTGGGTATATAATTATTTCTACCATCTGCTATGTACAATGTGCTATAGAAAACAGATAGCTACATTTTTTTTATTAATCAGAAACTTGAAGGAGCCTTTTTAGACAAAAGGTTCATTATTTAGTTATTGCTAGAAAGACAATCTTTCAATCAGCCACTCAAAAATTCAAATTATAGCTGTTGAAAGGTATCTTCTAGTGTGATATTGGCTTATTTTAAGTCATGTGATTTTCCAAAGCCCTTTTACAACTAACATCTAACTCTCTCACTCCAACAACCTGCCAATTGAGAACAGTGAGACAAGTTTCAATCATTTTAGGAGGTTTACTTGCCGAAGTTAAGGACGTGCACTCAGGAGACAGGTCTATGCCTTTTTCCAAAGATGATTTTGAGGGCTCCAAATTTAAAAGGGAAAGGATGGGATATTGAGAAGTACAGTTTTCATGTAAGAGACGGTAAGAAAAAAATAGTCATTCATGCCTTTTTCTGGCTCAGTGAATCTGCATTTTTTGCGTACGATGACATAGACAAATGGGGCAGAGGAAAAATGCAGGAAATCTGTATTTTTACATAAGATAACATAGACAAAATTGGGCAGGGAAAAACCAGAAATGCATTTGTGTCTGGGGGGCAGGGGGGTGACTGCACCTGTAAAGTTAAGCTATCAATTTACATTGACATGGTAAACATTTTTTTTTTTTTTCTTTTGAGACAGAGTCTTGCTTTGTCACCCAGGCTGGAGTGCAGTGGCATGATCTAGGCTCAACATAACCTCTGCCTCCTGGGTTCAAGCAATTCTCTTGCCTCAGCCTTCTGAGTAGCTGGGATAATAGGCGTCTGCCACCATGCCTAACTAATTTTTGTATTTTTAGTAGAGACAGGGTTTCACCATGTTGGCCAAGCTTGTCTCGAACTCCTAACTTCAAGTGATCTGCCTGACTCACCCTCCCAAAGTGCTGGGATTAAGGCATAAGCCACCACGCCTGGCCTGCCATGGTGAAATTGTAACAGAAACACCTTGGAGTAGAGTTGTTGGAGCGCACTAGGAATTTATTTGTGGGTAAAATAAGGGGGAGGCGTGTAGCTTTTCATCTTGTAGTCATTTTATTTAGGAACTAAAAGAGGAGGCAGGTTTGCATGACCCAGGTCCCAGCTTAACTTTTTGTTTTGGCTTAATGAGTTTGGAGTCCCAAGATTCTTTTTTTTTTTCCTCACAAACCTGAAGAGGTAGGGCAAGAGAACTGTTGTTATCCTTGCTTTTCACCAGACTTTTTTTTTTTTTTCCTTAAGAGATGAACAGAAACTAGCCCTGGAAAACAAAGAATGGAAGACTTCTTTGCTAGTTTCAACCAATGGCCTGACTCTGTGACCAGACTCCCTGCCCTTTTCAAGACTTCAACATAACAGTCGACTAGCTCACAAATCATTCCTTCCTGATAAATGAGCACTGTCGACAGACTGGTTCTGGCTGGTTTTTAGATGCTGTGCACATAGCACTTTTATGTTCTGTTTGACCTTTTGACATATGGAGCCCAATTTTACTGCCTTTTAATGTTGTCTCTACCCAAAAGTGAACATGGGTCATATGTAACATGTGTATTTATTCAGCCTGCATGCATGTGTGTGATCTTCCCTCAGGAATATTCATAGAGCCTTATGTAACCTGTTTCTTGGGAATAAAAGCTTGGAGTCACAAAGTAAATGAGTATTCAAGCAAAGGATCTCTCAGCAAGGCAAATTTACTTCTGCAGAAGGGTGCTCTCAGGGCTGGTTGCCACGAGAGCACACCAAACAAAGAAGGGAAGAGGTTTTTATTTCTAATGCAGTTTGTCCCTGTTACTGTGTCCTGCCTCTATTGGCTGGAGTTGGACTGCACAATTTAAGTTGAACCCAATTGGTTAACTTGAACAGCACAGGGGTGTGCATAATGAGGAGGGAAGGGCAGTTTTGGTGAGAAGAGCCATTGTGGCAGGAGGGGTAATTTACAGAGGAGTAGCAGATGTGGCTTGTAGATTAGGACTGGAGGGAAAGTTGTTTACTGAAACCAGGGCAAGGAGGCACAAAGGGTAAGGAAGTCTGGCCTTGAAAGCAGGGAGCAAAGAACAAGGGAACTAACTAAACCCTTTGAGGAGGAACTTCTTGTATTTGACACTGTTTAATATGTATACTTGGCCAACTCATTCAGCATTAATTCCTGTTCCATTTCCCCTCCCTTAAAGTGTCTGCCCTTCAGGCTCTGCTGGAGGCTCTGCTTCCCAGTCTGTCAGGATGACCACCTTGCTAACTGTAACCCTTTATGAAGAAGTCAAATCTCCTTTCTAAATTTATATATTGTGTGATTTTTCAGTTGACAGTGTTTTTGTTTTTTTAGATTGAGTCTTGCTCTGTCACCTAGGGTGAAGTGCAGTGACGCAATCTCAGCTCACTGCAACCTCTGCCTCCCAGGTGCAAGTAATTTTTGTGCCTCAGCCTCCCAAGTAGCTGGGATTACAGGTGCACTCCACCATGCTCAGCTAATTTTTTTATTTTTAGTAGAGGTGGGGTTTTGCCATGTTAGTCAGGCTGTTCTTGAACTCCTGACCTCCAGTGATCTGCCCACCTTGGCCTCCCAAAGTGCTGGGATTACAGGCATGAGCCACCATGCCTGGACTTGTTGATAGGCTTTTGAAAAGGCAATTTATAATTTTTATTTTTTTCCACTGATTAATATGATTATATATTAATATAAAAAGAAATGATCAACATTTTATACAGTGTGCTTTTTTTTTTTTTTTTTTTTTTTTTAGAAATTCTGGAGCAAGGAATTACTTCATATTTCCAGAAAAGTACAACATTGCAGATCGAAAACAAAACTACTATTTAGAGAACAGCTGAACCTTCAGATTAAGTTGACTTCCACTAGGTTGCAGAATTGAAGATTCCTCTGATGTCAAGATAGGGTCAAAAATCAGTGGGTAAAACTTTGCAGATTGCTTGTGCTTGTTCCAGTCTGTTGCACTAATAAACCCACAGGCTGTATTCTTCATTGCTCACAAGCACATGGTCTTCAGAGTCACTAAACTTCTTCCTGCCTCCAGACCATCATCATAACATAACATCTGATGATTAAGAATAGAGCATGCCTATGCAAAACATGGCGCTGATCTGATGTTGATACTTTATACCATAGTTGAGAACTCCCAATATAAATTCTTCCTCCAGAGGGGAAAAAAGGGTAAATTTCCAATTTGCTGGGCAACATCTTTATAATTTATCAGGTCTAGTGGCCCTTCAAGACTTTTTTCTCTCAGAGAATTTCAGTTTTTCAATGGCCCCCACAGATTGTGTTCGAATTCTGCAATCTGAATTATTGTTGCTTTGTGCTGAGCGCTTGGTGGAATCTGTGCTGAGACTGGCCATAGTGCTGGATCACGGAAAAACCCCTGATTTTGTTACTTTGGGAACTGCTACTACTATGCCATGTTTTGCCTTTCTGAAAAAACCACAGCTTGATCCAGAGACGATCCCCATAGAATTGAATACTATTTTATTGCCTTCAAAGTTTCCATAGACAGTGGTCTGCTCAGTGAGCCTCCTTCCTTTCTGATATGGTGAATTCTTTTCAAAGAAACATTGTACTCCTGGTGGCCATGGGCCCATCCCTGGGGTGGTGGGGTGATCTGTGTTGGAGCCAAAGTGCTTATATTTTTTCAAAATATTCATAACATTAGTATTTTTTATTAGAAAATATCAAATATTATAATATATATCTTCCTTGTAAACATTGGTTACATCTTTTTATACATTTTAGTGTGCACATATAAAAATTATAAGTATAAATATTTAAATGTACTTTATAAATGTATAAAATATTTTGTAAATTTATAAATATACTTTGTACATGTATACAAGTATACAAACATAGCATATATTTTGTATATTTTACTGTTCTATTACCTTTTAAAACTTAACATATTATACACTAAACATTTAAAATTTTTCACAGTTTATCTGTAAAAAGTCCTCTTTATTAATAGAGAAGTTGAGTGCCTTAACAATTTGTTGATTAACGAGACCAAGAGAGTGAACAGGGACCAGATTTACCTGCCCACCTGAAAAAACTAAATCCATGCAATCTACATAACACTGGACATCGAGCAATGAAGACAGTGATCTGTTTTTAACAGAGATGGTGACATACAAGTGAATTGAATAGGGATATTTTGGAGACCAGTTGATATTTTTTAGGTCATTGAGAGTGCCAATCCCTGCAATTGCATTATTTTGCTTGGGGGATGGCAATTTCAAGGGTCTCCACTTTGCTTTTCCTACTACAATGGATTTCATATCACAGGCTACCTAGTGGGGGTGAAATAGAAAGCCTCAGACCTCATCAGAACCTAGGAAGTAATGAGTGTCATGGTAGCCTCCAAAAGATAAGCAGGAGAGTGGGGAATGGCCTTCATGCAGCTCCTCTCATGCCTTCCATGTGCAAATGTTCTGAAAGGACCACAGGTATTCTGCCAAGACTTAGATCAGATCAGCTGCAGTTAAGTTCTGCCTCTGGGGTCTATGTGGAGACATGTATGGGAGGCCAAAATATGCCACCCTAGAATATGCTTCTTTGGCATAAGGATTATTTTCAGAAATAGGAGACATAGGAGAAGCTCTAAAAACAGAGTAGAAGTTACTTCTTGGTTAGGAAAGTTTACATTTACAAAGGAAATCTCTATTCATAAGGATGTCTCCCTCTCTGAACCAGGAAAAGAAGGATGATTCTAAATCACAAGGGACTCTTATCAATGGAGAATACAGCTCAAATCTGCACAGCAAACCTTACTCTTGTTTACCATGTTCTTCCTGGTCATCCCCGTAACTGACTTTCCCACATTCTTCTTTCTTTGTCTTTAGCTGGAGATGGTATTTAACTTTGAAGTCTCAACCACCTCTTGGAGAGTTATTCATTTCTCTGAGTATCTCCCATATGTGTGTACATATATATGTACACACACACACATATATGCATGTGTGTGTATATATGCTAATAAACTTCTATTTTTCTCTCGCTATATACATGCTAACCAACTTCTGTTTTTCTCTTGTTAATCTGTCTTTTGTTACAGGGGCCCCAGAGGATCTGGGTAGGGGAAACTTAGACGGATATTGGAAAAATTACGTTTTCCTCCTTTACACATACAAATACATCAGGGTGCCCTGGCAGAATCATTTTCCAACAGAAACAAGAATTATCAGAGGTTTTAGTGCCTGGCGAGGAATGCTTCCATCCCCTAAATCAATTAGGATTCCATGAATTGAAAGTTGGGGATGTTACGTAGCCACCACAGGCTTCCCGATGCCACCGGGTAAAAGATGAAAATGATGCTATCTAGTATTCAGTAGACAAAATTATATATAAATAACAGTAGCTTTCTGTAATAGGTAATAATCAGTAAATAAAATTTAATGGGAAAGGATTACTTTCACAGTTACAACAACAAGTATAAAACTGAATAAATGGAAGGATAAAATATGGTCCTTTATGAGAAGAATTTATGTTTTCAATATTCTTATTGAATAATTTGCTCCAAATTATTCAATAAGAGAACTTGATAAGACAATTTGATTATTAAAACATTTTAAATTAATGATCAATTTATTTACAATTAAAAAACTTTTATTTTAGGTTCGAGGGTACATGTGAAGGTTTGTTATATAGGTAAACTCATGTCGCAGAGGTTTGTTGTATAATTTCAACACCAATAGGTATTTTTTCTGCTCCTCTCCCTCTTCCCATCTTCCACCCTCAAGTAGACCCTAGTGTCTGTTGTTCCCTTCATTGTGTTCAAGAGTTCTCATCAATTAGCTCCCACTTATAAGTGAGAACGTGCAGTATTTGGTTTTCTGTTCCTGCACTAGTTCGCTAAGGATAATAGCCTCTAGTTCTATCCATGTTCCTTAGACATGATCTCATTCTTTTTTATGGCTGCATACTATTCCATGGTATATATGTACCACACTTTCTTTATCCAGTGTGTTATTGATGGGCACTTAGGTTGATTCCATATCTTTGCTATTGTGAATAGTGCTGCAATGAACATTTGCATGCATATGTCTTTATGGTAGAATAATTTATATTTCTCTGGGTATGTACCCAGTAATGGGGTTGCTGGGTTGAATGGCAGTTCTGCTTTTATTTCTTTGAGGAATTGCCCCACTGCTTTCCACAATGGTTGAACTAATTTACACTCCCACCCACTGTATACAAATGTTCGCTTTTCTCTGCAACCTTACTAGCATCTGTTATTTTCTGACCCTTTAGTAAGAGCCATTTTGACTGGTGTGAGATGGTGTCTCATTGTAGTTTTAATTTGCATTTCGTTAATGACCAGTGATATTGAAGCTTTAAAATATGCTTGTTGACCACCTGTATGTCTTCTTTTGAAAAGTGTCTTTTCATGTCCTTTGCCCACTTTTTAATGGGGTTGCTTTTCTCTTGTAAATTTGTTTAAGTTCCCTGTAGATGCTGGATATTACATCTTTTGTAGATGCGTAGTTTGCAAATATTTTATCCCGTTTTGTAGATTGTCTGTTACTCTGTTGATAGTTTCTTTTCCTGTGTAGAATTTCTTAAGTTTAATTAGATCCCATTTGTCAATTTTTGCTTTTGTTGTGATTGCTTTTGTCTTTGTCATAAAATATTTGCCTGTTTCTATGTCCAGGATGGTAGTGCCTAGGTTATTTTCCAGGAATTTTATAGTTTTGGGCTTTACATTTAAGTCTTTAATTGATCTTGAGTTGATTTTTGTATATAGTGTAGGGAAGGGGTCCAGGTTCAATCTTCTACATATGGCTAGCCAGTTATGGCAGCACCATTTATAGAATAGGGAGACTTTTCCCCATTGCTTGTTTTTGTCAACTTTGTCAAAGATCAGATGATTGTAGGTGTGTGGTCTTATTTCTGTGCTCTTCGTTAGGTTCCATTGGTCTATGTGCCTTTTTCTGGTACCAGTACCATGCTGTTTTGGTTGCTGAAGCCCTGTAATATAGTTTGAAGTTGGGTAATGTGATGCCTCCAGATTTGTTCTCTTTGCTTAGGATTGCCTTGACTATTTGGGCTCTGTTTTGGTTCCATATGAATTTTAAAATAGTTTTATCTAGTTCTGTGAAGAATGTCATTGGTGGTTTGATAGGAATAACATTGAATCTATAAACTGCTTTGGGCAATATGGTCATTTTAATGATATTGATTCTTTCTACCCATAAGCATGGGATGTTTTTACATTTGTTTGTGTCATCTCCGATTTCTTTGAGCAGTGTTTTGTAATTCTCATTGTAGAGATCTTTTACCTTTCAGGTTAGCTGTATTCCTAGGTGTTTTATTCTTTTTATGGCAGTTGTGAATGGGATCACACTCCTGATTTGGCTCTTGGCTTGGCTGTTGTTGGTGTATAGGAACGCTAGTAATTTTTGTATACTGATTTTGTATCCTGAAACTTCTCTGAAGTTGTTTATCAGCTGAAGGAGCTTTTGGGCTGAGACTTGGGGGCTTTCTAGATATAGAATCAATGTTGTCTGCAAACAGGGAAAGTTTGACTTCCTCTTTGCCTATTTGGATGCCCTTATTTCTTTCTGCTTCCTGGCTGCTCTAAGACTTCCAATACAATGTTGACTAGGAGCGGTGAGAGAGGGAATCCTCGTCTTGTACCTGTTTTCAAGGGGAACTCTTCTGTCTTTTGTGCATTTGTATAATGTTGGCTGTGGGTTTGTCATAAATGCTCTTATTATTTGTTCCCTCAATACCCAGCTTATTGAGAATTTTTAACATGAAGGGGTGTTGAATTTTATTAAAAGCTGATGCGACTGTTTTAAAATGGCAATGAAAAACTTTGGAGAAGAAGTGTGATGTGGAGTTTCCACAGGAGTAGTCCGTTTAGTGGGACCACAAGCACACTGGGTAGCTAGCTGCAGGAGGGTCTGAAGGAATGAGATAAGAATGAGCTAAATGAACATTATAATGTTCTTGCTTGTTTCCTGAATTGCAAAAATGTTTTTGAAATTCTTCTCAAAGGTGTCCTGTACTTGAATTCCCAGTGTGATGAATTTATCTTCCTGAAAAAGCAAAGACAAACAAAAATAAAAACAACTGTGCAATGTGCTGAGACACCCAGTGTTGCAGGTGATCCAGGGCCTCGTTTTAGGCTGTCCCAAATGTTAAGTGAGCATTAATCCATTTAAGAGTTGCTTATGTTCCCTGATAATTATTTATCTTTATCTGGAAGACAGAGAAGCCAAAATAGTACTACACTGAAATCCCATTCCTGATCAAAAGCTTATGGGTTAATTTAAATTTTAAAATTTTAGTTGTGTGATTTTTACGCACAGCATTTTTCGGTAACCTTATGATAGTACAGAAATGTTTAAGACAATGATGCCTTCCTTTCTCTTCACTCTCACCCTTTGTCATAATCCTTGTTAATTTCTGAAACAGTGCCAGGAAATTCAGATATAAAGACCTTTGATTTGGTATCTTCTTCTAGAGAAGGAAAACACTTTAAATGCCTTAAAAGTTCACTTCTACTTCCAGTAGAAACAAATGGGTCTGCATCCTACTGTTCTCTACGGTGAAAACAAACCATCTAGAAGTGAGTCAACCCTGAGGTTCTAGGGTCATGTTTTTAATGACACCTTTCAGTTTGTTATTTTCCCCACATCCACCACAGGGCTTTTAGGATACTTCCAGGGTTTGTGCTTGTATAGGCTTGTCACATGATAAGGGCCATTGTAACATTTGCCTAATATAAAAAGATGAGAGGGAAAGTGACTTTAAAGAAGAGAAAAGGAAGCAGGGAGAGCCACTCACGCTGTAAAATTCCTTGTGATTATGAAAGATGAGACGCATATCCTGCACGAACTCCTCCACTCGGGAGTACACCTGCTCATTCAGTCTTCTCTTGACTTTGTTTAACCACATGGGCTTCTGTGGGCCCCAAGACCCCTCTCTGTTCTGCTGAGAAAAGGACCAAAGTGAGTTTATCAGCCTAGTGCCAAGCCTGCCTCCCATAGACTCCCACTATTATGGAATAAAGGTTTGTTGGCTGCCCCATTTGTAGGTTGAAATCCTAACCCCCCCGTGAAGGTGCTAGGAGGTGGCGCCTTTGGGAGGTGATGAGTTAAGAAGGGTGGAGCCCTCATACGTAGGATTAGGGCTCTTATAAAAGAGACTCCAGAGAGTTCTCTCCATCTCTTTCTGCCACTTAGGAGCAGGTGGCTCTCTGCAACCTAAAAGGCAGCCCTCTCCAGAACCCAACCCGGCTGCCACCCTGATCTTGGACACGTAACCTCCATAACTGTGAGAAAAGCATTTTTGTTGTTTAAGCCACCTAATCTATGATAAATTTTTATAGTAGCCTGAACTAAAAACTCATCAACAAGGCAAATAGAATGGCACCTGGTACCACGGATTTCGGATCACAGATCTGAAAAATGCCAGTTTAAGCTTTTTTTTTTTTTTTTTTGGTTGTTACTTACATAATATGGTTTTGAGGCAAAAAAGGGGCTTTTTGAATCAGAGTAGACCTTCAAGAGAAGGAATTCACATTTCTGCAAAAGATGGAGGACATTTCAAGTTAAATGCAGTTTAGAGAGAAAGAGCTCTTATGCATGCCCAAAGAGAACACGTGACTCCCAAACCTGTGGACTCTTTGAAACAAACATGGAATGGGGATTTTCTTTGGACCAGGGGATTTTCTTTGGAATATGAAGTTTAGCGTTATGTCATGGAGGAAAGCACACCACAGGCCAGCAGTTTGCCTTTGGGCTCTATTCCTTGAGCTCTTTTCAAGACTGTGCTTCTCCTGCCCAGGTGAACAGAAAAAAGGAGGCTTCAAGTTCACGTTTTTAACTCACCAACTGCTCCTCGGGCAGCATCTCCCTCATCAGGACTTCAGATTCCTGATGCCATGCTTGGCTTTCTGGGCATCTTTCCTGAATAGCCTTTATCCTGCAGAAGATGCAACTCCACGGGTCCCTGAGAGATTGGGCATAAAATGAGCAATGGCAAGTTCTGTGAATCAGCCGCCATTCCTACCGTTGTTCAAATTCTCTGCTCAAGAATGATTGGTGGTTTCCACCTTGTATCCAACTTCTTTCTTGGAGGCCTCTGCACTAGAGCCCCGTTTGGACTCAATAGCCAAAGGCATGACCTCCCACCAATATCGGTAGCAGGGGTGATCATCTGTTTGGTGAAGTGCCCAGTAAGTGATGGAATCTCATTCACCTCAAAACTTGGGGTCGCCACTGGGAACTTAATAGTGAGACCTGTTTGCCAGTCAGTTATTATAAATGAATGCCTTAAGCACAGTCTTAGGCCTCAATGAGTCAATCAGATCATAGAAAAATCAGAAAACAAGGACTTGTTTCTCAACTTTACTGAGTAAGCACAGAGCACAGGCTATAGGCCCTCTCCCTTGGCCCTGCTATATCTTATACCTAGAATCTGTGCTGCAGAAACTTCTTGAAAAGGAAATCTCTGGACAGGGTGTCAGATATCTTCCATGTGCTCCAAGATTCATTCTCCAACCTTTTCTACCAGGCTGTCTGCTAGAAGGCTTTTGATAATCAGGCAAGCACAATGACCCAACCTAGTGATGCCAGCATCTCCTTGGCCGTGTAGTGCTTGCTCAAGGAGCCTGTTACAAAGTGCTCCTTTGAGAAGACTTTGCATCTCTGGTGCAGAGATGGGGTCTATCCATGGGTTCAACAAAAAAGCTGATTTTTCTTCTGCCTCTGCAGATTGCCCAACTGGTCAAAAGCAGAGGTTTATGCTGATCCCCTGAGATGACACCCTGGGAGCAGGTGGATCACATTAGCTTCCTCCATTATGAAAGAGCAATGCTCTTCCCTCATAGAGACAGATACATTCCTGGTAGAGATCATCCTTTCAGCCTTAATAATTCTGTCCACGACACCACTCACAGAGCACCTTATTAATCTCCATGGTATCCTGCACACCATCACCTCTATCCAAAGGGGCATTTTTTAGCAAAGAAAGTGGGCAGGGGACTTATACCTACAGAATTCACAGGTCTCGACATGTGACCTGTGACTAAGTCGGTTGGCTTGATAAACTGCTGCAGCACTGGCTTTACCTGCTGTGTGATGGTCCCACAGCAGATGGCATATCCTTTAAACCAGCTGGCAGTGTATGATGGCATCACCCCATCAGAGGGCATGAGTCTGGGAGCCAAGTAGGGGAGGTGGAGGTTGACACCTCTTACTATTGCACCCAATAACCACTCAAAGAGTTTTTGCTTCCCATTAATCTGCTGCTGCCAGCACTGTTCAACAGCTTTGAATAATATTTGTGGATCCTGATACCAAGGAGCATACTCCTTATGCATCAAGACACTTGTAACCAGGGACAGAAACTCTACAGAGTATGCATGAGTGGTGGGAGGAGCTGTACCACAAGAAGGAGGGCTCAGGGAAGGGAACACATCTTACTCACTTATTAGCTTCCACAGGCGGGATGTGGCAGTGTTCATGAAAGGATCGTGGGCAAGTGTCACAGCAAAACAGCGTTCCTCCTTTGTTGCACACCTTACAAATATTTGAATTTCCCGGCTAGAAGGGGAGATAATGTAGACATCACTGAAATCAGTGAGACCCTGGGACCCTAGAATATGTGACCTTTTTATGTATCAAGGGCACACTTGTAAATTTCTCTCCTTGAAATATTAAAGATTACTGAGTGGAGGTCTCAGAAAACATTTTGGTCTGCAGAAAAGTTCAGGAGATAGAGGTTGTGTGTCAGGCCAGAAAAGTTTTCTTTATGAAAGCAGAGATTCTGACATGACTAGTGACAAAAATAGGATGAATTGGAGACAATTTGATCAATTTATTATACAGCTGGCAAAACCAGGCCCAGAGATAGTGTCTTTTCGGCCAGGCGCGGTGGCTCAAGCTTATAATCCCAGCACTTTGGGAGGCCGAGGAGGGTGGATCATGAGGTCAAGAGATCAAGACCATCCTGGCCAACATGGTGAAACCCCGTCTCTACTAGAAATACAAAAAAATTAGCCGGACGTGGTGGTGTGCGCCTGTAGTCCCAGTTACCCAGGAGGCTGAGGCAGGAGAATTGCTTGAGCCTGGGAGGCAGAGGTTGCAGTGAGTTGAGATGGCGCCACTGCACTCCAGCCTGGTGCCTGGTGACAGAGCGAGACTCTGTCTCAAAAAACAAAACAAAACAAAAAACAAACAAGCAAAAAGCAGTGTCTTTTCTAGCTGTCTATGTTGTATTCTTTAAACTGACTTGTCAAAGGGTGATTTACTGAGAAATTAATATGATGGAATAAACTTCTGAGATATCACTACAACCCACACTCTTGCCATAAGCAAAAATGAGTTGAAGAAAGGGCTTGGGGAGGAGTTCCTGGATGTCAGTTCTCTGCTTGGAGGGCTCTGGGCCTGCAGCAGTACCTCTGGGAGGGAAAATCCATGGGCAAGTTGATCAGGTGGGCACCAGGGAGTACAAGGTTTTTTGCTTTTTGCTCTGGGAACCTGGAGGAAGAGCCCCCATGACTTAGTCAACTTGGCATGTTGTAATTTCTTGGCATGGTGTGGTAATTTCTCTTCATCTACAAAATCACTATACAAAGAAGAGTCTAAAGTCACAGATATGAGAAAATTCTAGGCTGTAAGATACATCTTGCCCATATGTTCCCTTTCAGTGGTAGAATTTGAGGGGCCTATTTGGAGCCATTCCTTGGGCACATCTCCACAGGGAGTGCCTGAGCTTGCCCTGGTGTGGGACCTTGTAACTGTTTCTCCTTTTGTTGTAACAGATGAAACTCAGTAGTTTATTAGATTATTTATGCATCATTTCCTTGGTAACCATTTTATAACCTGTGAATTTCAAATGTTCACCTAATAAGAACCTTAAATTAGCTACATGGGTATTTTCACCAGTAACTCAGAAGATTCAAGTGTTTTCATTAAATCAACAATGTTAAATTAGTCTTTCTTATTAAAAGAAAGATCATTTTGTTTGGCTGGGTTTATAGTTTTTTTTTTTTTTTTTTTTT